TTTAAGACAATCAATAATGTTCCAGTTTGCATAGTTTACTTTACTCAAATAATCAGCAATCCTGCTTGAAATAACAGAAGGGAACATATCCGATCCAAAGTGAATCCCACACACAGTGTGATCAATTAAAACTAAAATTATTTATTTTAGTTTTAATTGATCACACCGTGTGTGGAATTCACTTTGGATCAGGTATATTTCCTCCTATTGCTTGAAATGTCCATACAAAAAAAAAACCCCCCAATATTGTTAATATTGGGAATAAAAAAATTTTATCACTAGAATCACGTATGGCAATGACATAATAGATTTCTGAAAAGAAATTGTCAATCTTATGTGCTAAGCATGTCCTAGCAGGAGCATGACTCTTTCTTTTCAAACATCGATCGAAGGAGGTCCACGTCAATGGAACGATTTCAATACATCGTAGGATATCCATTAAGTCCAATATACTGGAATGAGATTGCCTAACAAAGCATGAAATTCTCTTCCAAACATCGACCAAGAGAGGTCCACATAAGTGGAACAGTTCCCACACATTATAGGATATTGTGAAAATGCCATAGATGCAAACAACAAAAGCACTTTTCTTTTTTTATATGCAGTAATCTCTCCCAATAAATCTTTGAAAGTTAAAATATCAACACGTGCTTCTGAAATTTGTTCTGTGAATTTTGTGTTCCAAATGAAAAAGCGGTAAGAATTTAAAATTGGAACTGGGTAGAAAAATATATATAATATTGGTAGAATTACTTGTAACTTTGGTAAATATAATTTTGGCCGAATTTAATTATAATTCTGGTAAATATAATTTTGGTAGAATTAATTCGAACTCTGCATATTGGCAGAAATCTTCAATTTTTGTGATTAATTGAATTAAATGATAAGATCAAATAGAATTTGAACCAATAGTTTATATGATAAAGTGTGATTACTAAGATTAAAAGTAATTATTTTCTGGTTATCGTAAAATTGCTTATCTATTGCTTATCATTATGAGTTAATTATCAGTTACTTATCAGCTACTTGGTTTTTATATGCTGTTTTCAGAACAGATTAGCCAAAATTACCAAAAACAACCCACATATGGGCGGAGTTTTTTGATTTTGATGATTTAATTTTAATAATCACAGCATCCTATTAAAAAATTTCACTCATATGGATAAACATAATATTAGTAGAGCATAATGTTAGTAGAGTTAATTTGTAGAATTTAAATCTTTAATTCGAACTCTGGTAGATGTAATGTTGGTAGAATTAATTCATAACTCTGGTGAATATAATTTTGGCAGAATTTAATTGTAATTCTGGTAATCATAATTTTGGGAGAATTAATTCGAACTCTGGTAAGCATAATGTTGGTAAAATTAATTTGTAAAATTAATTTGAACTCTGGTAAACATAATGTTGGTAGAATTTATTTGTAGAATTTAAATATCTAATTCGAACTCCGATAGACATAATGCTGGTAGAATTAATAAAAATTATGCATCTAGAATTAAGATTATTATTACTAAAGTCAATAGAAGTAGAATTTTTGCAAAGTACAGCTGCTAAATTTATCAAGCCTTTGGAACTAAG